TCCTAACCCTGTGACCCTTTAATACCGTTCCTCATGTTGTGGTGATGCCCGAACATAACATTCTTTTCCTTGCTACTTTATAACCGTAGTTTTGCTACTGTAATGAATCATAAGGTAAACATCTGTGTTTTCTGATGGTCTTAGGCGACCCCTATGAAAGGGTTGTTCAACCTCCAAGGGGTTTGTGACTCAGAGGTTGAGAACCATTGCTCTAGGAGGCCTTTCCCAACCCTTCACTATTGCCTTCCTCTATCCTTGATGATAACTGGTACTTTATGAGCTCTCTTTCCCCTGACTGTAGAAATTGTCTTGTCTATTAGTTACTCTCTTCTGTGTTTGGCACTGTATAGCAGGCTGGAGTCCCTGAAGAGAGGCCAGGGGAGGCCATTAGTGAGACTGAAGACTCAGTTGCAGCTAAAAGTCCAGAATTGAAGAGGTCATGGAGAGAAGTTGAAGCTTGGCACCATGTGGCTTGGTACTTCTCTCTCTGAAGAGAGCCCAGGACAGTCTATTGGTGATGGTGCAGCCTAGTTGCAGGGACCCCAGCATTTTGGAGATGCCAGTAGCCTGGGACAACCCCTAGGAACAGCAATAGCTGTGGAGTGGAGCCATTCTGAGTCCATGAGACAAATTGTGTGTGCCATAGATGGTGGAGCCAGAGAAGTGTGACTGCCCAAGTTGTCTGAAGCCCAGAAGATTGTGAGTGGATCCCACACATTGGATACTGAGTTATTTACACTGTTGGAGTTTGGTTTTGCTTTGTTCAGATTGCGACTGTGTCCTGGTTCCTCCTCCCTAGAGTAAGAAAGCATTTAACATATTTTCCATTTTATGGGAGTCTACAGTTAAGAAGCATTGGAATTTTACAGAGACTTTGGATGTTTTAGAGAGGCCTGGAACTTTGAAAGAGATTTTGGATGTTTTAAAGGGACCAAACTTTTAAAGTATTTGAATTTATAGACTGTGGAACTTTAAAGCTATACTATGTTTCATATTGTCATATTAACATTAACATGCCATCTTGGGGACAAATGGAAATGGAAAGGTTGTAGTTGAATAGGGACGTGTTTGTGTGTCAAGTTGAGGAGTCAGTTGTGTTGATTAGTTTTACATCAGTTTGACTGCAGCGATTTGGGAAGAGGGACTCTCATTGAGAAAATGCCTCCCCAATACTGGCCTAGAAGCAAGTCTGTAGTGCATTTTCTCAATTAGTGATAGATGTGGGAGGACCCAGCCCATTGTGGGTGATGCCACCCATGGGCTCGGGGTCCTGGTTGCTTTAAGAAAAGCTGACTGATGCTGGGTGGTAGTGGTGGTGCACACCTTTAATCTCAGCACTCGGGAGGCAGAGTTGGATGAGTCTCTGTGAGTTCGAGTCCAGCCTGGTCTACAGAGTGAGTTCCAGGACAGCCAGGGTTACACCAAAAAATCCTGTCTTGAAAAACCAAAAAAAAAGAAAAAGAAAAAAAAGAAAGAAAGAAAGGAAAGACAAGCAGATTGAGCAAGCCAGTAAGCACCTCTCCCCCTTGGTCTCTGCATCAGTTCTTACCTCCATGTTCCTGTCTTGAGTTCCTGTCCTGACTTCTCCGGATGGTGGATTATGAACCATGAGCTTAAATAAGCACTTTCTTCCTCAAGTTGCTTTTGGTAATGATATTTTATCACAGTGATAGAAACCCCAACTAGGACAGGCTTTTTTAATTAGTGTGTGTGTGTGTGTGTGTGTGTGTGTGTGTGTGAGAGAGAGAGAGAGAGAGAGAGAGAGAGAGAGAGAGAGAGAGAGAGAGAGAGAGCGAGCCTTATAAAACCTAAGGAGGTGCCGGGCAGTGGTGGTGCATGCCTTTAATCCCAGCACTCGGGAGGCAGAGCCAGGCGGATCTCTGTGAGTTCGAGGCCAACCTGGGCTACAGAGTGAGTTCCACGAAAGGCACAAAGCTACACAGAGAAACCCTGTCTCGGAAAAAAAAAAAAAAAAACCCACAAAATCTGAGGAGGAAAGCCTTTTTTTTTAGCTCATGGTTTCAGAAGGTCCTGACTCTCGTGGGGAGGACGGTGGTAGAGCACAGCAGCTCATATCATGGTGTACCAGGAAGCAGAGAGAGCGGGACAGGAGACAAACCGAGTAAGATACCCAGGGGCTCACCCAGTGGCCTACTTCCTCCAGGTTGGCACCATGTTCTAAGTTTCTAGAGCCTCCCAAACAATGTCACTATCTCAGGAACGCAAATCATGTATCTATGGACTCAAAGTACTAAGGACCTGTGGTGGTTTGAATGTAACTGGCCCCATAATCAAAGGGAGGCACTATTAGGAGCTGTAGCTTTGTTGGAGTGGGTATGGCTGTGTTGGAGGAAGTGTGTCACTGTGGGGGTGGGCTTTGAGGTTTCCTGTGCTCAGAATACCTTCCAGTGTCTCAGACCATTTTCTGTTGCCTGCAAGATGTAGGACTCGCAGCTACTACTCCTGCATCATGTCTACCTGAATGCCACTATGCTCCCCATCATGATGATACTGGACTGAACCCCTGAAACTGTAAGCAAGCCACCCCAACTAAATGTTTTCTTTATAAGAGTTGCTGTGGTCATGATGTCTCTTAGAAAGCCAAACTAAGACAGTATTCAAATCATAAATCTACAGAGGACATTATATATTCAAACTATAGCAGTAGCTTGGTCTGGTCTTGAACTCCTTATTCTTCTACCACAGGCTCTGAGTGCTGGGATTATAGGTTACACCACTGTGTCTGACTTCTATATTCCTCCAGGTACCTGGAGCTGGAATCTGGAACTGAACTTGGAGGCCTTCCAGAGGAGAGGCAGCTGGCATATTCCTCACAGTGGGTGTCTGAGTCTGCACCCTGGAGAAGGCATAGCCATGCTCTCTGTTCAACCTCAGGGGCACCCTTGCTCAGCTTCTTCTCAGGACAACAGCTCTCCATCCTAAAAGCTCCAAGTGTTGGTGGTACCAGTTCCTTCAAACCATCAGGAGGTCAATCTTCACTTGCTGCTCACTACCCCTACCATCTCATCAACCTAAGGCCAATACTGTAAACAGTGCCAACGGTCTATAGAAGAGACTAGATAAGGTAGGGGGCTGAAGGCCCATTGCAGCCCTCCTGACTTGAGCTGGACTGAGGTTCTAATGGTCTAGATGTCCACTTCCCCCATCACCCACCACCACTGGTGGGCTAGGGAAGGTGGTGAGATGTAGACGCGTTTCAATCACATAGTCACATTTTCATATGGAACTATGTGCTCGCTCACACACACACATGCACACTACCGCATGTACACACTCTTGGCTCTTTGGTCTAGAGATGGGCATCAAGGAAATGCGTTTCAAGTGAACTGAATGGTGGCGGGTAGCGTTCCCTTGATTCCCTTCCCACTATCAATGATGCTGCCAGAGGCCTGGAGAAGGGACCATAAAAGGATGGTGTCTTAGTTAAGAATATCATCGCTGTGATGAAACACTATGGCCAAAAACAACCTGGGAAGGAAAGGGTTTATTTGGCTTACACTTCTGTATCACAGTCCATCACTGAAGGAAGTCAGGACAGGAACTCAAGCAGGGCAGGAACCTGGAGGCAGGAGCTGATGGAGGCAGGCCATGGAGGGGTGCTACTTACTGGCTTGCCCCACATGACTTGCTCAGCCTGCTTTCTTATAGAACCCAGGACCACCAGCCCAGGGACAGCATCACCCACGATGTGTTGGGCCCTCCTCCCCAGGCAGTGGGACCGGGTCCTGTGCTCATTGCATGAGTTGGCTGTTTGAAACCTGGGGCCTATGCAGGGTCGCTTGGCTCGGCCTGGGAGGAGGGGACTGGAGCTGCCTGGACTGAGTCTACCAGGTTGATCTCAGTCCGCGGGGGAGGCTTTGCCCTGGAGGAGGTGGGAATGGGGGATGGGCTGGGGGGAAGGTATAGGGGGGCAGGAGGGAGGAGAACAAGGGAATCCGTGGCTGATATGTAGAACTGAATTGTATTGCAAAATAAATAAATAAATAAATAAATAAACATCAATCACTAATTAAGAAAATGCTCCACACGCTAAGCCGGGTGGTGGTGGTGCACGCCTTTAGTCCTAGCACTCGGGAGGCAGAGGCAGGCGGATCTTTGTGAGTTTGAGGCCAGCTTGGTCTTCAGAGCTAGTTCTAGGACAAGCCAAGGCTATACAAAGAAACCCCATCTCAAAAAACAAACCAAAAGAAAAAAAAAGAGAGACGAAAAAAGAAAATGCTCCCCAGGCTTGCCTACAGTCCAGTCTCGTGGAGGCATTTTCTTAATCGAGTTTCCCTCCTCTCCCATGACTCTGGCTTGCGTTGACATAAAACTAGCCAGCAAAATGGGAACCAAGAGATGTGCGTTTAAAGGAGAATTTAATTCACTGGGTTGGAAGAATGGGGAGTAATGAAGTTAGAACGCACAACTGACCACACATCCCCTTGGCCTCCACCTCATCATCTGCTTGTTCTTCATCCTCTCTATCCACCCTAGGCCCCGTTATCAAGGAAGCCAGCCGCTGTCGGCCCTGCGCCTCGCTGACATCTACCCTCCTGTTCTTTGGAATGTTTCTCTCCACCTGCCGACTCCTTCCTTCCTGATCCACAGTTCCACATCAACCTGTGGGAGAACAAGAGGGCAGAGAGGAGGCGGCGGCGGCGACAGGTTCCATGGTGTCTGAGCTCTCGAACACCTCACCTCTCTGTTCGGAAACTGAGCAGCATGAAAAACTGTTCCCGGTACTTCCCCTCCTGGCCCAGCCTGGGACCTGGCCAAGCAGAAGCCCCCATTCCACTGCTTCTCATTACCCCTCCTCTGAGAGAGACGATGGAGATGGGGGGAGATCGGCTGCAGTTTAACATTTCCTCAGAACTGATACAAGAAAGGCAAGGCACAGGCACCTACTTCTTTAGGTCTCAAGAACTCGGGCTATCCACTCCCCACCACACTGGATGTTTATTTAAAAAGAAAAGAAAAAAAGAAAGGACAGGTCATGATTGGGCCCACTTATTTATTTTGATGAAGCAATATAGTCACATGGTTCAAACTTCAGGATGTTCCCAGAATGGCATGCAGTACCCAGTGTCTGCTCTCACCCATCTTCCTCCCCGGAGGCAATTGGTGTTACTCATTTCTCAATGCAGAAATAAACAAGTATGCACTTATAACCTCCTCGTTTTCAGTTTTTCTTTTGTCTTTAAAGTATTCTTTTATTTCTATTTGTATGTGTGTGTCTGTGTGGGGGTATGTGCCTGAGTATAGGTACCCATGAAGAGAACATTGGCTCTCCTGGAGCTGGAGTTACAGGTAGTCGTGAGCACTTAATATGGATGCTGGAAACCCAACTTGGGTCCCCTGCAAGGGCAGTGTGTCCACTCTTAACCACTGAGCCATCTCTACAGTGCTGAGAATTAAGCCCAAGACCCTGGACATGATGGGCAAAAAAATATATCTATTGTAAAACTGTGCCTCGGAGCTAGGCAGTGGTGGCACACGCCTGTAATTCTTGCACTTGGGAGGCAGAGGCAGGAGGATCTCTGTGAGTTCCAGGCCAGCCTGGTCTACAAAGCAAGTTCCAGGACAGCCAAGGCTGTTGCACAAAGAAACCTGTCTTGAAAAACAAAAAAAGATAAAAGAAAAACAAAAACACCAAACAAAATAGCTGTGCCTCAGGTACTCTACCACTGAGCCACATTTCTAGCCCTTGGTTTTGTGAGATAAGGTCTCACTATGTAGCTCTTGGTCAAGCCCCCAACGTGGAGTCTGGGATTATAGCTGTGTACCATCACATCCCTCTATATTCTCCTCCCTCTAAAAACACAAGCTAGCCGGGCGGTGGTGGCGCATGCCTTTAATCCCAGCACTCGGGAGGCAGAGCCAGGCGGATCTCTGTGAGTTCGAGGCCAGCCTGGGCTACCAAGTGAGTTCCAGGAGAGGCGCAAAGCTACACAGAGAAACCCTGTCTCGAAAAACCCAAAAAAAATAAAAATAAAAAAAATAAAAACACAAGCTAGGAATGAACCATAAACATTTCTACATGCCCTTTCCCTCTGAAGGTTACTTCCTACTAACATGTAATGACACCTAACAGTTTTTAGCTTAGTTGGATTGCACTGTAAGACTGTGTCACAATGGGCCTGGCCTGGTCAGTCTGCTCGGGAACGATGTGCCTTGTTTCCAGTCACTTGGTGTTTCCTTGTACCGTCCCTGTCCAGATCTCAAGAAAGTCAAGCAGTGATGGGAAAAGCAGGTCCCACCAAGCCATGCCTCTCTCTCTTTCTCTTTCTCTCTCTCATACTCATTTGCATGCTTGCCTCTGATTGGACAGCCCTTGGTTTGGGCACGGCGTCTCAGAGCTTTCTGCTTCTCACCTTTGAGGTCAACACATGGTTTCTATTCCACTGTCCCAAACTGGCTACTACAGGGCACAGAGGCCGTAGTCATGTAGAGCCATGGAATAAAATAACCATTTGTCATAATCCTAGCAACTTCGAGCCACCTGCTGTCTCTAGACCATTTTCTTATACAGAGTGCAGAGCAGGACTGTAGCGGGGAAACTCCTACTCTTGATACATGGTAGATGTTAGGAGACAAACAAGCTTGGTCCTCTCCAATAAGACGTTCCATTGCATCTTTGAGATTTCCACAGCCTCGGGACCAGAGGAAGGGACCACAGTTGAGAAATGAGGGCTGAGAGGACATGAAGGACAGACGTCCCTTTGGACTGAGTGGGAAATCATGGAATATAAGAGTAAGCAGGAATCCAGGAGGTGTGGGCAAGAGAGAGGAAGGGGAGATGGAAGAGGCTTAAGTGGACAGGATTGTGGGCAGGAGTCCCCTTCACGGCTCGTCTGTGGATGGTCAAGACTCAGGGAGTCCCTACTTTGGGGTCTCTAGAGGATTATCCTCATAGCAGAGTCTTCAAATTGACCATAAAATTTTTAATAAAAGCCAAAAAGAAAAAAGAAAAAAGGAACCGTCTGAAAAAGCCCATAGCCATCTCTCTAGACTCCTAGCCAGGCTCCCGAGGCAGGAACTCAGTACAGCCACTCTCAACAAAGGCCAGTGTCCCTGTGTGTCGGGCATCATGCTCAAGATGTTCCAGGCAGGGAGAGAGAGACAGGAAGTGCAGCAGAAGAGAGAGGAGACATCAGAGACGTGTGGACGGAAGAAACAGACGGCCCTGTACACTGCCAGCTGCTGCTCTCCCCACCTCTTATCCTAAGGGCCTTGGCTAGACTGTCCATCCACGGGACACTTATTTGTGAATAAAGCCTCCATGGGAGAAGGCAGGGAGGTCTGGCGCACAGGTGGCAGTCTGGGACAAGCAAGCCAGGGGGTTGACCTCACAGGCACTGGCATCCTGGTCGTCTCGGAAATAGACGGAGTCGGCCGAGTAGAAGGAGGGATCTTCGTCAAAGAAGTTGTAGGGCCGGAGGAAGAAGCCCACCCCGTTCCCCACGGTCACCGTGTTGGGAACGTCTTCTGCATGTGGGATGTGCAAAAAGCCAGCTGTTACCCAGGCTACCAAGTCCTAGCAGGAGAGAAAAAAAAAAAGAAGATGGTGAGGTTGACTAGACACAGCCTCCCTCCACAGTGGCCTGTTCACGAGTCCGTAAATCTTGAATCTTTAAACAGTGTCTCCTTTGGATGTCCTAGAAGTCAAAACATAAAAAGCTCATTCCATTTCGGGAACACTGGCTGCCGCCTTGAGACGGGCTTGCACTTCCGTCTCTGGTGTTTCCCATCACAATGCCTTTTACCTGCTCACCCCAGAGGGTGAGCACTGTAAGCTGCTTCTGCTTTCCTTTCCTACTTCCCTAAGAGCCCCCAGAGTGTAACTCAGGGAAGAACTGTGGAACCAGGGCATTCAAGCCTTAGAAGGTGGGAGCAGACTGACATGTAGAATGCACCCTTCGAGGCAGGGATGGAAGCTGTGGTCTGTGTTCTTCCTCTGGTAACTTCTAGCCCTCTGTGAATCCTCAGGCCTGGAAAGGGCTCAATTGACAAAGCTGGGACTTTGAGGGTTTTAGGACCTAGTAGTTTGCACATGACTTCCTACCTCTGGAAGAGTCTCTCTAGGGCAGTGGCTCTCAACCTGTGGGTCACGACCCCTTTTGTGGGGTCACACATCAGATATCCTGTATACCAGATATTTATATTATGATTCATAATAGTAGCAAAATTACAGTTATGAAGTAGCAATGAAATAATTTCATGGTTGGGGGTCACCACAACATGAGGAACTGTACTAAAGGGTCGCGGCATTAGGAAGGTTGAGAACCATTGCTCTAGAGGTAATGATCGCATCCAGTAACATGCAAAAGGCAAACTCCTCTTCTGAGGAGTTCAGATGGTTTTCAGGGACCCGCCTGTAAGGAAGGGAAGCTCATCCTTGCACCCGATCTCTGTTCATCCCACCATCAGCTCACCTGCCCAGCGATGGTCTCATTATTGATGAAGTCAGTGAAATCCACAGTGGGGGTCCATGGGTCATTCTGGTTGAAGATGCTAGAGCTACTAGGCTCCTCCTCCTTCCTCCGTGTCACAGCCAAGTGGTACCTAGAAGGGCACTGGTTAGGTTTCCACAGTCGCTAAGCCCATCATGACACCCGTTTATGATGGAGGCAAGCTCTGTGCTCTGACAGGCTTCCATACGTACTCACACAGCAACACCAGACTGTAGAACTCCTGACACCACACTGAAGGGTTATGTCATACCCTTGCCATTTCACAGTATAACCCACCCCTACTACCGGGACAGAAAAGAGCTCTTCCCTGGCTTTAGTCCTCCAAGGTGAAATGACACCCTACCCCACCCCTTGTGCCCAGAGACAGGCAATGTTTAAAACAATATGAACTATTTCCAGGCCCATCCTCTGCTCCTGATGCCTCCCAGGGCTCACCTCCCCAATCTTCTCTGATCACCTGCCACTCACCTCCCCCAGCTGATGGATTTCTCTATGGGGCTTTTCTGGGGCAGTGGCTCCCCAGCAAAGCTGAGTATCTGGATGCGGTAGCCTCTCCTATGGCCCCACTTGTTGCTGTGGTTACTGGCCAGGTACAGGTAGCGTGGGGTGGCACTCCCCAGGGGGAAGGCAGCCTCCTCTTCTGTCTCCAGTAGCTTCCGGGTCACCTGCAGCCTCTGTATCTGGTACTCGGGACTCCAAGGTACGTTCATGGGGACAAAAGCCATGTCCTCTGCCCAGGCCCAGTTCTTCAACCCTGTGTAAAGTGTATATGGGCAAGTCATTCGACCACTCTAAACATTTCTGGCATCCACCTGGCTTCCCTCCTTGTCCCAAGATCTCCCCAATCCTTCAGACAAAACTATTAACCTGTAAATTGGAATATTCAGGTGCTGGAGATCAGGCTCAGCAGTTAAGAGTACATACTGCTCTTTCACAGGTCTGGAGTTTGTCCCCCAGAACCCACATTGAGCCGCACGAAAGTGCCTGGAACTCCAGCTCCAGGAGGATCCAACGCCTCCGGTTTCCAGGGGCATGTACAACTCATGTACACAACCCATAGACACAGAAGTAACAACAAAAAAGAAATCGGTTTGTTTGTTTTTGTTTTTGTGTTTTGAGACAGGGTTTCTCTGTGTCGCCCTGGCTGTCCTGGAACTCATTCTGTAGATTAGGCTGGCCTTGAACTCAGAGATGAGCTTGCTTTGGTTTCTTTTTCTTTCTTTCTTTCTTTCTTTCTTTCTTTCTTTCTTTCTTTCTTTCTTTCTTTCTTTCTTTTTTCTTTCTCTCTCTCTCTCTCTCTCTCTCTCTCTCTCTCTCTCTCTCTCTTTCTTTCTTTTCTTTTTAATTTAGTGGCCTGTGCTTATCCCTGAGGACAGAGTTGAATAAACTGCATCACTACCCTCAGGCTCTCACAGGCTCACAGGGGTCAGAGAATCCACAGCCTGGCCCTGTAGGGTGAGGAGGCCCGGGTGAAACAGGGTCAATATGCCAGGAATATAGGTGCAGGCCAGGACAGGATTTCCTCAACCCCCAGGACACTATTTCTATCTACCCTTAAAGGATATCATCAAAAGAAATGTCCTGGAAGGGCCTTCTAGGTAGGAATAAAGTCTGAATTAAAGCAGAAAACCTGTGGACTATGTGCCCAGGACCTGGGAGCATGTGGGCACAGCCACGGCAGAGCACCGGGGAGACTCTCGGGGTGGGCAGAGCTGGCAGAAGGGAAGTCCTTCTGCAAGTGACATCCTGCAGGTGCTGAGAAGTTAGCAGCTGCAGAAGCAGCAGGCTGGTGTGCGTGGGACAGCTCTCTGTACACAGAGTGGGTCCCAGAACTAAAAGCATCAAGAGTGGACTGACCCTTGGCAAGCATTAACGTAAGCCTAGGAACTGTAGCCATGTGGTTGGATTCTACAGGAGGTAATGTATGGTAACTGCTTTTTCAAGTATGTTTGAGAATGTGTCACCCAGACACGTTAGAGAATAAGGATAACCCTGAAGGTCACTGACCTCCCTTTGTTAACAGTAGCATGCCAGCTAAGCCTTTTCATCTTCACAATCCTCTTCAAGCTGCTGTAGTACCTACCTTTCAGGAGTGGCTCTGTGCAACATTTATTGGCCTCCTGAAATTCATTTAGCCCCCTTTGAAGATACCTTAAAATTTGTGAGCCTGAATGTAGCCATTATAAGACCATAAGTTATGCTCCTTATGAGCTGCCTGTTTTTCCTTTATGGTTCTTAGTTGTTCTTTTGCAGAGCTACCAGCTTAAGTTGTGCTGGGATCAAGAAAAATGGGCCTTGGCAGTTCATGTTCCTGGAGTTGTATCCATGCCAGTGGATGCCCACACGCTCCAGAAGAGAATTTGACATCGCTGCTGCCATTGTTGCTGTTTCTGGGATTACCATTTCATAATTGGTTACTACAGCTAGCACAGTGGAGACCTTGGCAGCAAAAGTAGCTACCACAGTTAGTTAATTTTTCATTCTATTGGGCATGATAAATTTAATGCAATAGTTATACACAGTTCAATTGGCTTTGAAAATTATAAATTTATAAACTCAAGATCCATTTGCTTTTGGGATACCATCTTACAAGGACTCCAATTTGCAATAAGGCTTGTTAAGGAAGGGAATGGCTCAGTTGCCTTTAGCCTACTGGCTATGGGTGGGTTAGGACTTCTGTTGGTCTTTTCTGTGTCAAACACACAGATTGCAAGCCCAGCGCCACTTTGAGATCTTTGGCAGCAATTAATTCTTCAGCTCACACACGATTGAGCTTGTATGAGAATGAGTATTCAGAGATGGGTAATGTCTGGGGGGTGCTCACCAACCTAAGACAGAGCTCCTGTGTGGCCTGGGCAGGCGTCTCCATGATGGGTAAGGTGACCTGCTGACGTCCCACACAGCCTAAGTCAGAAGCTCATTTTCTAGTAAAAGGGGAACCTGTAAGGTCCTGGCCCCCGTTTTGGGTAACTGTTGTCTTGCTTGCTGACCTTGACCTTGATATCCTCCCTATGCTAATTCCCTGCCAGGTTCCACCCTCCTGAATGCTTAAAGGAAGTTCCTTGTCTGTGTATCCTGCATAATGGATGTTAACAGCTTAGATGCAAGATTGTAACGAACTTCTGCCCTCTGGGGTTCTCCCATTGTGCTGTAAGTCTGTATTTAAGACCTCCTCCCTCCTTCAATAAATGGCATTCAGCAATAAATAAATAAATAAATAAATAGATAAATAAAAAGAGTGGGCTGAAACTGGGCAGTGGTGGCGCACACCTTTAATCCCAGCACTCAAGAAGCAGAGGTAGGCGGATCTCTGTGAATTCAAGGCTAGCCTGATCTAGAAAGCGAGTTCCAGAACACCCAGGGCTATACGGAGAATTCCTGTCTCAAAACACCGGAATGGAAAGAATGTGACTCTGTGAGAACGCTGAGGTATTTCATATTCAGAACAGAAAAAAAAAAAAATCAGGTGATGATTCATTGTAGGGGAGAAAAAAGGGAAAGATGATCTTCAGGAAATCATGGAGCCTTGGCTGTCTGTGTGACCACAAACTCCAGGAGCCTTCTCGAACTCTCCTCAGTATTTACTATACCACTGCACTGAAGTGAATGGCGTCCAGAAAGAAATGAAAAACCAGGGAAGAGGAGGGCCTGACTCCCAAAGAAATGCAGAGGAATGGCTGTTCCAGGCCTGACTTGCATGCACAGGGACTCAGCAAACCCAAATACATCCTCCAACACTGCTGCACCACAGGCCTGACAGAGCTGAGCTGGAAAACAAACAGCTGCTTGCTTGAACAGAGGCCCACGTAAGCTCAAGAGACTCTGTGAAAGCAGATCCTGCCTTCTCCCTGAGCTTAGCCATTCCCAAGATTTCCTAAGGAGGTCACATGTATAGAAATTGGCAGCTTTGCACCCAGCTAGGCAGCTAAGATCCAAGTAAAACCCCGTTGCCATCTCTCTCCCAGCCAGCCCAAAAGGAAACCTGAAACCCCAAATCTTTCTTTTGTGAATGACACTTACTCCCCTCCTGGAAGACCCTTATCTCCCTCAGGATATCTTACCTGCCACATCCAGGTCCACTTTGTAGTGAGCACTGTGGGCATGCACTGTGCCCAGCGTGTGCTCCCCAACTCGGTTTCCAAACCTTTCACCAGCACCGAAGAAGAATGCTGAGCTGATGTAGCCTGTGGCATGGAATTTGACTTCTATGGCCCCGTTGGGGTGGAAGATCATGTCCCACACATAGTCATAATTGAACAAGGTAGCCACAGATCTGACCACGAGCACAGTCTCCACAACACCTCCAAAATAGTGGGAGTAGAAATCTGAGTGGTGTCGCCGTAGCGGGAGGCCCTGGTTCTGTTCAAACACACAAAATGCATCGCGTAGTGTCTTGGGGGCCTGAGATTCCTGAAGGAAATGCCAGTCCATGTAGGTGGCGAGGTAAGGACAGTCCACCCCACGGGTCAGGGAGGTAGAGTATTTGCCAATGCCAAAGCTACCGTCCATATAGCAAGTCGTCATTGCTGCTGGCGAATTGCCACCATACAGGGCTATGGCCTCCTGGACACTGATTTCATAGGCCACTCTCTCCCCTTGAAAGCGGATATCAAAGACCCTTGGGCCACTGAAAGCTCCAAGGCCAAAAGAGAAAGTCCACAAAGAGGAGGCCACTCGACTCCCCTGGACACTGAAACGGGGTCCCTGGGGATGAAACTGCAGGGGGGGAGCTGGACCTGGCGGCACTGAGGACTTTAGGGACCAGGACCCACTTGTGCCATTGGCTGGTACCACCATCACATTTACCTGGCCGGCCTCAAACTGGTCCTCCAGATTAACCAGACTCTCAAAGTAGCGGCCTTGATAAAATACCTTCCGGATGGTCCATAGGGCAGGGTCCAGGGCCTTGTGGTCTATCAGCAGCTCCAAGCCAATAGGTTGTAGGTAAAAACCAGCCCCTGAGAGGTTGTAGTGCAAACCAAACCAGGTGGCCCGGTCCCCTGATTGCAGACCACGGGGGGCTGAAGTCATTTTTAGCAGGTTGTGTCCCCCGTGTTTGTAGAAGCAACAATGATGGAGGAGCCCAGAAACCTTGGGCAGCTCTCTGTGGAAGATCATTTGCTCAATATCCATATACTCTCTGGCTAGCACAGGACGCCGGTAATAGGGTATAGGCCCACCATGACGCTCCACAGTCACATCCCGCATGTAGGATGGGTGAGGCAGGGGCCCCACCACCAGTTCAGTCACATTGGGCTGGGGTTGTGCACCAAAGAAGATGATGGCCAGCGCCTCCCGGGCAGGTGGGGGCCCCCCTCTGTCCAGGTGGGCCAGGGCTGCAGCCTTAGCAGGCAGCTGCAGCTCCACTGAGAAGACACAGTTGTCCGAGGGCCGAGCCTGGGCTGCATCCACCAGCCCTGGTCCCAGGTGCTTGATCAGAAAGCTCACCACAGCTGTCAGCTCCTCAGGGCTCAGGTCTGCAAACAGCTGGCTCTGGCCAGGATTGGTCCAGGGCTGGGCACTAGGAGGAATGGAAGGACAACGAGGAGGTTGGCCCAGTCCACCTCCATCTCCGCTCCTACCAGCTAACAAGACACAAACCAAGGCAAAGATGGTGATGGCAGCCAAAGCCAGAAGCACCAGGGTGGTCTTCTGGGTCATCGTTCTTGAGGATGGACAGGCTTTTAGCAGAAATGGACTCCTCTTGCTTAGGAGTCTGGACGCTAGCAGAACGCCTTTGTTTTCTGATGCTTTTGCTGAGGGTGGGGAACAGGGAGGCTGGAGCCCGAGTTGGGAGGCGGGTCTGAGCTGGCGGCAGTGATATCCACAGACCTTACATGGCTTTGTCCTCCAGCTTCCAAATCAGACTCTGCTCTCTGGGTCAGGGTTTGGGTTGAGAGAAGGGGGAGGAATCCAGCCTGTGCATGGAAACCCACTACCAGTAAGGAGTGGGGTCTGCTCCACATGCCTGTGCCTCTCAGACCAAGTTCCTCTCCAACTCCCACCTTCTTAGGGCCAGAAGCTTTCTCTGCTTTCACTGTGAAGCATTGTTTTGCCAAGGAAACCCCCACTTCCAGCCTCTTTCCCAAGAAACATTCCTTGGCCAGGTCTACACTCCCCCCCTGTGGATCTTTCTGTTGCTAAATTTCCTTGGCTAGGGTTCTTAATATTCTCCTGGGAATTAAAAAGCCAAAGAGAATAAACTCACGTCAAATTTTTGCAAACCGTTTTATTATGAATTACACATAACAACCATTCTTTTTAGATACACACGCATAAGATAAGGCCTGGTATAATGTGAACCCCAGCAAGTTTTGAAATGGTAGGATTTGTGGTATTTTGTTTGAGTATTCCAAAAACATTTTTTTAAATAAATTATCATTTAAATAACTAGCAGGAGCCGGGAGCAGTGATGCATGTCTTTAATCCCAGCAGTGCAGAGGCAGAGACAGACAGATCTCTGCCAAGCTGAAGCCAGCTTGGTCTATCTGGCAAGTTCCAGGACAGCCAGGGCTACATAGAAAGACCCTGTCTCAAACAGAAACAAACAAACAACAAAACAAAACACAGGAGGCAAGAACCAACCCTGAAGAAGAAACCCAAGGGTTTAGTGTGGAAAGAGGCTGTTTTCTAAGGAACAGAGGGTGGGGACCTGGGGAGGGGGCAGGTAGAACAGAGGAGGTGCATGCATCTCACTCCCTGGGGTCTTACCACATCCTCAGGCCTATAAGCCTTCATAAGAAAAGGAGGGCAAGTTAGGGACACAGGCTGCCAGCTGTGGGGCACAGGCCACAGGGTTCATACTGCAGAGCCCCGCATCCTGGTCCCTCTCAAAGTAGACGCTGCCAGGAGAGAGGATAGAGGGATCTTCATCGAAGAAATTGTAGGGTCGGAGCAAGAAGCCCACGCTGTTCCCTACAGTCACTGTGTTGGGGATGTCCTCGGCATGGGGGATGTGCAGGAAACTGGCCGTCACCCAAGCCACCAGATCCTGTAGGAAGGAGAAGAGGGAGGCCGTTGGAGGCAAAGACTCTCCTCTTAGCTGCAGTTTCTCAAGCCCCAGCCTGGCTTCTGCCTCTGCCAGCCATATTCCTACACAGAACACTTTATGACCTGTGAAGGGAGCTGGCAGGGTGCCAGTGTCCTAATTCCCCCTAGGAGGGATGACCTGTATTGGGCAGAGGCTGGATGGCCAAGATGCCAGGAAAAGAGAAGGCCTTCTCCTCTATCTCTGAAGCCACCGACCTCTCCTAAGAGGGTTTCATTGTTGATGAAGTCAGCAAAGGCCATCTTTGTCGGGGTATGCAAGTCGTTCTGGTAATAGATGCTGCTGCTGTGGCCCTCTTCCTCCTTCCTCTGGGTTACCACAAGCTGGTATCTGACCAGGAATGGTAAGAAGGTAATGTTGGAAAGATCAGAGCTTTACTGGCCTACAAGCCCCTTGGCTCAGATTCTGAGACCATTTCCCATCCCACATCTACTGGAATCTGAAGGCAGGTCCAGGGTCTGTGAGTGCTTCTGGGGGACAAAGTCCTTCCCTCCCACCCATTCCCAGGGCCCTCCTCACCTCCCCCAGCTGAGAGCCCTTTCCATGTCGCTCTCCAAAGGTACATGGACACCAAGAGGGCTGTGGATCTGGATTCGGTACCCACGCTGGTGGCCCCAGGCATTGGTCTGGTTGGTAGCCAGGTAAAGGTATCGAGGAAGGGGGCTCCCCCAGGAAAATGCAGCCAGGTCCTCCCTGCTCAGGACCTGCCTGGTCAGCTGTAGGCGCTGTAGCTGATGCTCCGGGTTCCAGGGAGCTGCTACAGGCTTAAACACCATATCTTCAGCAACCACCCAGTTTTTCAAACCTGTCAGGGTAAGGAAAGGGAGAGCTCTACACTGCGGTGAGGTTGCTGGCACAGGATCCTTGGTCTCGTCTTGATGCCTGTATTTCTGGCCTGACCGAAGGCATCAGAGTACCCTGTGCTGGGAGTCATGCGCTTAGGCAAGTGCTAGCCTGGTTTCTTCCAACCCACGGTTTCAATCGGATAACCATTAGTTACATGTGGCTACATATATTAAAAATTCAGTTCTCCAGTCACACTAGCTGTATTTAAAGAGCCCAGTATTGCTAAGCATAGTGGTACATACCTGCAATCCAGCACCTGGGAGGCAGAGGCAGGAGATGATTGCAAAGTCAAGGCCGGACTGATCTACATAGAGAGCTCCAAGACAATCAGGGCTACAGTGAGACCCTGTCTTTAAAAAAGAAAAAGAAAGAAAAGGAAAAAGGGGAGTATGTCCAAAGCCAGTCTACTATACAGAGCAACCCAGTTTGAAATAAACCGCTTGGCAGTCACATACAGCTAGAGACTCTTATGGCCAGCCACAACACACAAGGCTATTAGCATCGGCCTACATAGACCCTGGAGCAGTTTGCTTCTGACGCTCACCTTCTGAATCTCTGTGGCAAGCACAGTATTGTTTTATGCCTATGCTCGATACACGGAAAAGCACATAAGCTGACTGAAACATTCCTGTGACTTGACTACGAGAGACCTGACATGACCTGGAAAACCCAGTCCTCTTCCATGGCCGCTGCATATTCCTCCCAGCTCTAGGACTCCATTCTCTCAGCTACTTGCAAAGTCTTTCGGAAGTAAGCTTCACGGCTTTCCATTACCAAGGAGTTTCTCAAATCCTAAACCCTGCATCTCCCAACACAGTACTTGATCACTTTTTCCTGAAGGGTCAGGACATTTGGTTCCCTTAAATGTGACCATGATACACACATGAGAAACCTAGTATCTGGTAGCAGGCTCTTTTATGCCCAAAGATGTTGAGAATTTTCCAATTGGAGAGTCACAGTCTAAGTGTGTCAGATTATAATCTATGGCCATCATGTTAGTTTTTGTTCTCCTGCTCCCTACCACCCCCCACCAAAAAACCACCACCAAGTATAGTGTGCAAGACACACATGCCAGGGCTTCATGTTCAAGAGAATGTTTCACAAGACATATGCTTTGTCAGACATTACGCTTGGGCAGCCACTTCCTGTTCCATCTCCACTGCCTTCCTTAGTTTCCCCAACTGTGAAATTGAGGTCTGGTAGATTTTTCTTTCTGGGTCCACATCTGTGCTTTATGAGTTTGTTTTCTCTCCTCCACAGAATCTGCATTAGCAGCAAGCTCCAGACTTGCAGCCAGCCTATCCCAGGCTTGCTGGAAGAGGGGACCGTTCATAGTGATGACAGGAGAGGGTAGCCTTCCCCACAGTGGGTCACTAACCGCAGAGCTACACCCAGTCCGGACACCCTCCCTCCCCACATACACAACGCAGCATCCCTTCTCTTACTGAAATCTCTTCAACCTGACTTTCGGTTACCTCTGCTCAGGTCCATGCCCCACCCAACCACCCTAGCTCAAGTAGCCAAGTGCTGGCTGGCTCTAGCTTCATCCAATTCCCATTGGGTCAATTCACTGACCCAGAGGGTCCCTCGAGGTTAAGGGAGCCAGGCATAGCCATTCCATGTAAATAGTCTCACAATTGTAAATCTGGGAGGAGGGGCCAGAGGGTGGGAGCTGGGCAAATGAAAGTTTTCGTCTTTGGCTAGATACCCAGCTGTGATTGCAGTGGCACTCAGACAATCCTCCCTTCCCCTTCTGGCAACCAGAGGGTTAGAATGTCCTCTTAACCTTTCAGATTGCAGCCTGATCTGGGGGCTTCCTGCCCTACTGCTAATCTTCAAGCCTCAGTCCAAGAACTCACCTGCCACATCCAGGTCCAGTTTGAAGTGGAAAGCGTGTGTGTGCACCGCCCCCAGCACTCTGTCCCCCACGCGGTTCCCGAAGAGGAGGCTCTCAGTTCCTCCACTCAGGAAAGCTGTGTTGATGTAGCCCGTGGCATGGACACGCCCTTCAAGTGCCCCATTTGGGTACAACATAAAGTCCCAAATGTAATCATAGTTGCCCACTGATGAAATGGACCTGACCACAAGGCTCGAGCTGGCCAAACCACCATAGAAATGACCCCCAATGTAATTGTGGTGCCTTCGAAGGGGTAATCCCTGGGCCTCCTCAAATACACACACAGCCCCTGGGAGCAGGCGGACTGCCCCTGTACCTATTAGTACATGGATGTCCATCATTGTGGATTGATAGGGGCAGTCCACGCCCCGAACCAAGGCTCGGCTGTTTTGGCCAAGCCCATAGCTGCTGTCCAAATAACGGATCATCATCGTCTTGGGGGAATCAGCACCATAAACAGACAGGCACTCTTGGACACTGACTTCATAAGCCACACGCTCACCCTTAAATCGAATATCAAAAAGCCTCAAGCCAGTGAACACCCCATGACCGAAGGTAAATGTCCAAAGAGGGGATACCACCGAGTTTCCCTGCACATTGTACTGGGGACCCTGGGATGAGAACTGTAGAGGGGGATGAGGGGGGTCTGGAGTGACTCGAGACCTCAGGGAGGAAGCCCCATTTGGTGTGGGTAGAGGGACCTGAACCACTTCTAGGCGGCCAGCCTTAAATTCCCATTCCAGTTGGGCCAAGTCTGCATAGTAGTGCCCAAAGTAGAAGACCTGCCGGACCACCCAGTGGGCAGGGTCCAGGGCTCTGTGGTCCAGCAGTAGCTCCAACCCCACAGGGTGAAGGAATATTCCAAGACCTGAGATGTTATGGTAGAGGGCTATCCAGGTAGCCCGGTCCCCTGAACGGAAGCCACTAGCAGAAGAATGCAGAGGTGCCAATGTGGAGCCATTGTAGTTCAAGACAGAAGCCAGAAAGGTGGGTGCCTTCGGGAGCTCCACTTCCTTCAAATACCTCCAAATCTGAACAAACTCAGCTGCCAGTGTGGGACGCCGGTAATAGGGTATAGGCTCACCATGACGCTCCACAGTCACATCCCGCATGTAGGATGGGTGAGGCAGGGGCCCCACCACCAGCTCAGTCACATTGGGTTGGGGTTGTGCACCAAAGATGATGATGGCCAGCGCCTCCCGGGCAGGTGGGGGCCCCCCTCTGTCCAGGTGGGCCAGGGCTGCAGCCTTAGCAGGCAGCTGCAGCTCCACTGAGAAGACACAGTTGTCCGAGGGCTGAGCCTGGGCTGCATCCACCAGCCCTGGTCCCAGGTGCTTGGTCAGAAAGCTCACCACAGCTGTCAGCTCCTCAGGGCTCAGGTCTGCAAACAGCTGGCTCTGGCCAGGGTATGTCCAGGGATGAATTCTGGGAGGGATGGAGGGGCACCGAGGAGGCTGGCTGGAACTGCTTTGCCTGGTCAGCAAGACATACGCCAGAGCAAGGACAGTAAGTAGAGACAGCACCAGAAAGCCCAGCAGCACCTTGAGACTCATGGTTGATGCTGAGCTGCAATCAGTCCCGAGAGCTGCTCTTTTCTGTGTCTGACATCACGGCAGGGCTTATATTCAGTATGATGGAGAGGAATGGACAAAACTCCACCCTGTGGGCTGGTCGGGAACTTTCTGTCCTGTGGTTTGGCTCAAGATGTTACTTCTACACGCACAGCTTGTTCCTTCCCTAAACTCCGACTGCTAACAGTCACTAACTACGACATTCCATCATTTAGACAACTACCTTGTAACCTTCAACAGTTCTGAGAAGGCAATTTTGATGTATAATCCTTTCCTTGTGTTACACACAAGTACTAATAAAACGCCTGTTTGGCAGAATGATGCGCCGACCAACAGTTCCTGGATCCTCTGCCCAGTTCTGTATTAAGCACTCAGCTCTACCTGGGACCTAATGCAGTACCTGACGTGGGAATCTCGGGCCTTATTCCATCCAATCAGTGAGAAAATACTGGTTGACGTTCTGGACTTTGTGTTCAGATTTGTACAATGAACCCATCTAAGTTGTATAGCCTTAAAGGAACTACTTATCTTGAGTTTCTTGCTTATAAAGGCACAATGGGGCACGGTCACTTATGTCTACAATCTTAGCACTAAAAGAGGATTATTGGGAGTTGAAGACCAGCTAGACTACACAGTGAATTATAGGTCAACCTCAGTGACAACCTGCCTTAAGACATAAAACCTGCCTAAAATAAGACATAAAAGTACTCTACACATTTTGATTAAAATGTAGTAATACAGCCAGACGTGGTGGCGCACATCATTTAATTCTAGCACTCAGGAGGCAGAGGCAGGTGGATCTCTCAGTTCGAGGCCAGCCTGGTCTCCAACGTGAATTCCAGGACAGCTAGGACTGTTACACAGAGAAAACCAAAAAATAAAATAAAATAGCTGGGTGATGGTGGTGCGTGCCTTTAATCCCAGCACTTAGGAGGCAGAGGCAGGCGGATCTCTGAGAGTTTGAGGCCAGCCTGGTCTACAGAGTGAGTTCCAAGATAGCCAGAGCTACACAGAGAAACCCTGTCTTGAAAAACCAATAAAGTAAAATAAATGTGGTCATACACACAAGTGCTTAGTAATCCCACAAGCAGGCAGGCAGGCAGAAGCTGCTTGCTAGCTAGTGGCACTAAGCTCTGGGACAGAACAGACAGATGTCCCTTCCTTGCTGGAGACCTTAAAGCTCTGCAGACAAAGTCTTACTGGAAAAGGGGAGGGTATTTATTTCAGAGGGACATGAGCCTCCTATGAGCCCTTTGAGTCATTTTAAACCAATCCCTGGGGTCCCCTCAAAGAAGTTCAAGCATTATGTAGTAAGGAAAGCTATTATGACGGAAAAAGGAAAACTAGACAAGGCAAGCCTGAGCCGCTGTTCCCACACGGAGCCACAGCGACCTCTGCTGGTAGCTCATGGGTATCACCGGGAAGGATGGACAGAGGCAGCCTCAGTTCCTGGAAAGGCTTTCACAGAATTCAGCTTCAACACAAAGCAGGAGCCACCTCCCTCCCTGGTCAGAGGCTTCACTCCTGCCACCATGATGAGAAAAGGAGCATTCAATAGCAAATGTACACACAACAGATTGGCTAGAGCATCTGTGAAGGTGGGTGTCTGAATGCTCACACATGCCCACTATGTCCCTTAGTCACCAGAGTACGGCACCAGGGCCTGCAGCTTTAGAAAGAGGTCAAAGTACCTGTATTTTTAATAATTTCTTGACATGGTAAAAGAATTGTACATTACAATCCAAGGGTGGTGGGGTGAGGAGGGGCAGTAGAACAGTCAAACAAAAAGGGAGGCTGAGAAATACCTGGTGGGAGGAGGGAAGGGCTTAGCTGAGCAATCTGAGGGTGGGTAAGAGTACTGCCCAACTAAAATGCAATTGGTTTGTTACTGAGCACTATTCATGGGAAGACAGCATCCTGACTCCTTTCCTATCGAATACTGGGAGTGAAAATGATGCATCCCAGGTGGAGTATGATTGGGAGTTGGAAGACAGAGGAATAAAAACCAGAGAGACACTGAGAGTCACTGGCAGGTTAACTGCAGATACCAACTCTCACTTAAAAAGCTGGCGGTTGATGGGGTTAACACAAAAGCTGTAACAAGTGGTATCTCTGGAAGATTCGAAAGAGGCGGCAACTCTTCTATGGGTTTGACCTTCGCAGCATATTTATACACACACGAACACACACACATGTGCACGTGTGTGTGTGCACAGACACACATACACACGAATTTCTGCTTTCCCTGGAAGCACAATACTATAAATATGAGAACTCTTTCCCAAAGGGAAAGCACAGCGAGGGTCAGCAGCCTCTGGACCGCACAGCTGCCCACACCCTAGCTGACGCACAAGCCGGCCTGGCAGAAGGGCAAGGGGGGCCAGAGGGCCAGCTTTTGCATAACACCAAAGGAAGCCGAGTCACAGAGGGAAGGCCTTCAGGAGCCTTCTGCTCCTCGGCTCTCCTTCAACTTACCCTGGGCACCAACGGCTACATTATCAGGAGAGGGTAGTCCAGGGATTTTGCCTGGGTGGATGACTAAGACAACTGTCACCTGGTAAGGTGTTGCATGTGTGACAGGGGCTGAGGGGACAGTGGTGCAGGAAGGAAGGCTATGTTCTATAATGGAGCAGGAAGCATGTATACATGTCCCTAGGCGTGTGTACATGTGTACACATGTATATCTGAAAACCCCAGTTATAAAAACATCCAAAGGAGCTCTAGGGATGCAGCTGAAGGCCTAAGGTATCCCTCGTCACGGTCAGGCTCAGGTGGGATAGACAGGTGGAAAGCCCTAAGGCATCACCAGGGCAGCTGTGGTAGGGAGGACCCAAAGTCCCCCAGAAGCGAGAAACACTGGCCTCGTGACAGGAAGAGATGTCCCTTCCACTCCACCCCCCAGTTCCTAAGACACCTAATGCCTTCCCTAGTTCCTCCAGCTTTAACCGACTAACCATTGAAAGGAAGAAAACACAAAACTTAAAACAAGGGAAGGAGGAAAGATAAGAAAAAACAACAAAACCCCACGATTATTCTTGTGCCAATCTTGCACAGACCTGGAGTTCTCCTGAAATTAGGACAGGCTGGGTGTGGGGTTTGGGGGAAAGAGATCAAAGAGTTCCTGAGGCCTGAAAAAAGAGGTAAACACATCACAGAACTAGATGAGAGTTTCATTAGACTCTAACTAAAAACAGAGAGGTGTGGTTACTATTTCCAGCCAGTTTCCCCATCACGATAGTCATGTAACAAACCAAGGCAATGTCGGTCTTGAGCCAGACTCACAGAGTCCCCTGGCCCTGGCCCTGGCCCTGGCCCTGGCCCTGGCCTCAGTACAGTGTCTCCGCATTGCTGCTCCGGGGCCGTTTGATTTTCTCAATATTCTTCAGGATCATGTCATGTAGAGTGACCTGGGAAAGGAAAGGTCAGGGGATTATCCTACTCTATCACCTGACACAGTGAAGGGGGCAACACTACTTCCTCTGCTCTGAGCTGGCTCCAAGTGTTAACCACACAAGAGGTGTGAGAAGTCCTTTAGCATGCTGCCTCATTTACTGCTAAAAATCATGTCTGCAGTCAGTAATCTAACTCCCATTTCAGAACAGAAACCAAAGTCTGAGCTTGAACATGATCAAGATCACACTTTCCAGGCTGAAGAGATGGCTTAGCAGCCAGGATCAGGAACTGCTCTCGCAGGGGACCAGACAACTCACAATGGCCACTAACTCCAGCCTGGGGGAATCTGACGCCTCCTTCTGGTAGCCCCAGGTACCTGCACTCTCACATGAGCACATACTGACACACAAAGAAACCATCTTTGTAAAAAACTGGCTCGTTGTGTTGGCACACATCTTTTATCACAGCACTTGGGAGACAAGAGTCAGTGGATCTCTGTGACTCTTGACACCAACATAGTGAGCTTCAAGCTACAAAGTGAGACTGGGCTACAAAGTGAGACCCTGTCTAAAAAACAAACAAAACAAACAAATCGCCCATTACATGAGGACTCTGGTTACAAAGCCATCATTCTGATTCCAATACCCATGCTTAACCATCCATATGCTGTATACCAACCCCACCTAGAACAGCAACTCCCAACTAGACTCCTCCAGTGCCTTTATGTTCTCCACACCCAGCTGATGAACAGCTATTTATGTACCCCAGCAGGCCTCAAATTCTGGATCCTTCTGCTCAATCTCCCGAGCAGTTGGGATTATAGGCAGCTACCACCCCGGCCATTTCACTCATTTTATTCTGAACCCCAGTTTTCGAGAAATCACCACGAACTAAGAGGAGCCAGGACAGCTATGGGCAGGGACTGACTTTACTCACATATTGATTCCTCAGTTCTGAGATGATGAGACGAAGGCTGATGTACTCTTTCTCATCAATCTCTGTGACAGTGCGGCGATAGTCCTCCTGCACAGGAAGTAGGGGAGGCTAGTCTTCTAGGCCCGATGCCTGTCGATAGCTCATTGCTAGCATCCTACCTATCCTGCCACCCCCCTCCAGACCACAACCCCCTACTTACCACATGGGGATATTTAGCTATTTTAGAAACCAATTTGGCTCTTGTAATATAATATCTGGAGGGAGGGAAAAAATGAGAAGCAGTTGAAGGGGACCCTGAACATGTCTCCCACTTCACCAGCCAGTTTTCTGGGTCCAGCCCAAGCAGCCCTACCTAGAAATCTGGTCCAGATAAGATGCAGCTTCACTCTCGACAGTTCTTAGTTCTGCAACTGTTTCCTCCTGCAGGGAAGGACAGGCAAGTCAGGTTCCTTCCATGCCACCTACAGCAGCACTGAAGGCCAAAGCAGAGAGACCAAGCAGGGGAAGCAGCTCCCTGTTTGTAGTAGACACATTACCTGAATAGACACCCCAAAGTTGTTCCCATCTTCTATTCTGGGAATCAAGAGCTGTACCCACATTTTGACCTAGAGTGTGAGAAGATGAAATGCATGTAGAAGGACCTTGGGCTTTCCTGCTAAAGTCATGAAATACACAACACTTGTTGCTGGGGACAGATGCCAGACACAAAGGAATCAAGAGACTTAGCCTGCCGACCCCACCCATCATTCCACAGCTCACGTGGAGCTATTCGGTTCAGCCCCAGGTCACTAGGCCATCTCACCGTGTTACATTTCTCGATCAGCAGCCGAATCTCAGGTTTTACTTTCTCAATAATGTCCACCAGCTGCTGGTTGCTTTTCAGCATCCCATTGGGCATCACAAACACCTTGGTTCCTGAAAGATATATCAAGGTCACATGTTCAGGGCAGTGGAAAAGTGAAAGCACCCTCCATCTTTTCCTCTTCCTCAGACCTAGAAGATGTAATGACCATTGCCTTTTATCTTTCACAATGCTAAATAACCCCACTGCCCCTTAATTCATCAGGTAACTACTGCTGCTACTACTCCAGGGGGCAAATGACACAGAACATGGACTTCTGTGATAACTGTGAGGTGTGGTTCATGCCTCCAAGCATTCTCTGTGGCGTCTACACTAAGTCAGACCCTCCTGGTGTACTAGACTAAATAATGATCATTGTCGGAAGATGCCAAGTGTTGATCCTGAGAAATTAAATCAGACCTCAGCTGGTGAAAACCAGAACCATCCTACTTCTCAGGACTGCTAGTCAGCCGAGATTAGAGGGCAGCTCTTACCTTGGAAGGCCTCTTCACATTCATCCAATCTGCGCTTCTTGTAAGTGGGCTAATGGTATAAGGAAGCAGGAATTAGCTTGCATTTAACACCACATGCCCATTACAAGATACGAGACAAGCAAGTTTAATTCCTTCCTGGACCCCATAGGTTATCGTACTAATTTCTGCACCAATACATATAAAGCTTTTAAAAGAGGTTCTTGCCACAAAGAAACTTACACTCTAGCTGAGAAGGCCAAATTTACAACCAATAGAACACATTAAAAAAGCAGCTGAAGGGGCCAGTGGAGCAGTTCAGCAGGTAGAGGCACGTATTGCCAAGCTTAACCACCCGAGTTTGATCCCTAGGATCAACACCATCAGAAGGTAACGAGCTGGCATGCTCCTACCCACTAAACAAACAGTACTGCTTTTCAAAAACAGTCAAGGAGCAGGAAAAATTTTATTTTTAAAAAACAGGAAGAAGCTGGTGGTGGTGGCGCACGCCTTTAATCCCAGTACTCAGGAGGCAGAGACAGGCGGATCTCTGTGAGTTTGAGGCCAGCCTGGTCTACAGAGCAAGATCCAGGACAGGCACCAAAGCTACAGAGAGAAACCCTGTCTCAAAAAAAAAAAAAAAAACCATGAAGAAAGCAATCAAGGCAGGTAGAGAATTGAGGGAGTATGCACAAATTTGTTGGTTCTAAAATAAACACAAGATTCAATCAAGAAACTCAGAACAGTACCTTCTATACGCTAGAAGTAATGTTGGGAGCTGAGGATACAGGCAATTAAGATGGTTCCTACCCTAACTGCAGATTTATTTTGCTTTGTTTTGGAGAAAGGATCCCAGTATATGTCCAAACTAGCCTTCAATTCACTATGTATCCCAGGCTGGTCTTGAACTCACAATTCTCCTTCCTCAGACAAGCTGAGTGCTAAGCCACCATACCCAGCTTAATTAGTTATAATTAAGATAGTTCTGAAAGCTAGTAATATAAATCAATGGTATAGTGTTTATATAACATGCACAAGACCCTAGGCTTGACCTCCAAGACAGGAAAAAACAAACAAAAAAACCAGAGGAATCTAGACGAAACTATAGTATCACTGGTGTTCTAACACAATGTGGACATGGAACTAATAAGATACAGGTATTAGCTGGCATGATGGTGCACACCTTTCATCCCAGCATTTAGACAACAGAGGCAGGCAGACCTCCATGAGTCTGAGGCTAATCTGGTCTAGTCTACACAGGGAGTTCCAGGCTAGCCAGGGCTACATAGTGAGACCCCCATCTCAAAAACAAAGCTAAATACAGGTGCTAAAGAGACAGTAAAAACAGGGTCTGCAGCTATGCAGCAAGAATAGCTTCTCTTCCCACCACAAGACACAACGCACCGAACAGAAAAGTCTTACTCAGAAGCATAGGGAAAGCCAGGTAGCTGGGAAAAAAACAAAACAAAACAAAAAACTATAGCTAGTTTAGAACTAATTAAAACTCAGGCTAACACTGGGAGCAGCACTAACATACTCACCTTGTTAACAAAGAAACTAAAGGTGCAAAAAGTAGTATTCTGGAGTCACCATACCTGAAACAGAACCCCAGATCCCACAAGCAAAGCCCAAGTCCTCTGTACATCCCAAGGCTTATCAAGAAATAAAATACTAAAAACACAAACATAAATGCAAGACACTCACACCATCCAGTCCATCGTGGCTATTGGTGAGGAGAATGGGGTCAGGGACTGGGAGATTCATGTCTGAGTGGATCTGAGTTAGGTCATGGATATTTAGGATTGGTTCCTGAAAGAGAGGCATTCACCCCAAAACAGTATTAGTGTAAGTTTAAAAACAAAAACAAAAAACAAAATAAAAGAGAGAGAGAAGTATTTGTGAAAGAAATGAGTGCCTTATAGTACACAAGAGAACAGAATCAACACACAATCTGCCCCATATGTCTCAAAGACAGGGACCAAAGAGGTAATTTAAAGTATTAAAAACGTCTCTCACCTTCAAAAAACTATCAAGTTCTAATAACTTCTTTGGGAAAAAATTTGCCACCAAGTCTTCTGCCTAGACAGAGGAAACACACCTGAATTAATAAACGTGGGACAGTCACTCCCTCCGCGTAGCTCTTTCTGGGAAACCCCCAGCTATTAACCGACACCTCTTCTCTCCGTTACAACACTCACCTCACTTGTGATCCGCTCCCTGAAAGAATCAACCTAAAATCAACAAAGAGAGCAAATTCAATACCTGCTGACTAAGGGCAAGGATGAGGAACCCCAAATGCAGCTGTCTCTCCCTCACCTTGAAATTATAATGAGAAGGTGAGAGGCCCCCAGACTGCAAATACTTTATTTTTTTGCGGATCCATTTCTCCATCTCAGGAGGGATGTAGGGGCTGGAGGCCAGCACCTGTCAATCTCCCCCTCTCTCTTCCCCCCTTCCACCCCCTCCCTTTGTCCCTCCCTCTCTCTGGTTGTCTGAAATCCTCTGAATTTGATAAACAGACAAAAGCTGAAAGATGTGAGATCACAAACGTGCCAACTCCCACCCAGACCTGGCCTATCATACGCAGTAGGCAAGCCTCCCAAGGCAGGGTCAGTAGCAGCGTCCGGGGGCGGGGACGTGGCTGGGCCGGGGGACTTCCACCTGTCACTAGCCTAAAGCACTGAGTTTAACACGTGTCCGCGGAGGAGAACCTGGTGCGCTCCATCACCAGAGGCAGGGCAGAAAGCCACCCTATATCGGCGTCTCCAATGCCGTCTCCAGGCGTGGGGGGCTGGGTTGAGCCGAGCGGAAGCTCAGAGCTGGTGTCCCCAGGGAGACAAAGACGACACGGGGAGTGGGGAGCAGGTCCGACTGCTGGGGGTTCGAAGGGAGGGATGAGGAGGCCCGGAGCTGTGCCGCTACCTTGAGCTTCACTTCCTGATCCACCTTCAGCAACGAGGCCATGGCCGGGCAGGGCCGTGTCCGCTCCGCTGGGTGCTGGAGGTGCTGTGGACTCCGGGGAGGGCGCCGGAGGGGCCTGAGGAATCTCCACTGCCCTCGGGACCCGGCCGCCCTCGCTGGCTTGCTCACCGCTTGCTCGTTCCCTCCCTCCGTGCCGGCCGGCCACCCGCCCGCCTGCCGCCTGCTGCCTGCTAGCTCTCTTGCTCGCCCTCCCGGCTTTCGCCGCTCACGCCGGAAGTTACGTCACAGCCAATCGCCGGGACTCCGGCGAGGATTAGCACGTGCCCCGCGCAGCCGCTCTGCTGCTCGGCTCTTAAAGGTTCCCGGTGGGGCTCTTAGAGCTCCAGCCCTTGTGCCCCGTGGTGGTAAACCGGGGTCAGGGATGCTGAGACCCAGGCCTCCCGGGGACTCAAGAGTGGTGTGTTCTAGTGTCCCGGAACTCGACTTCACCGTGGGACCTCATGTGCCGCTGGAAGAGTAGCCGTCGCGCCCTAGTGACGTGGACTGAAGAAGCCCGCCGGTCCCGGTCCCTAGTTGGGCGTTCCGGGCTGACTGCCTGACTCCCGCCTCCCTCCCCTTTCTCCCTCTCGCTAGTACCAAACAGAAGACAAGTTCCACGGCACCGTGCTTTCCTGGTATAGTAGTTATCATAAACACGCAGACCTCAGATACCAAATACCTGAGGGTCACACTCTCGCCCCGAAGATGATTGTGGCTTATCGAAGGCAACACATTGTTTCCGGTTACTTCACTAGAATCAAACCTTCCCAGTTCTAGGATAAAACGGTTAACATTTTCCTAATGGAAGTCTGAGACAGCATCTCTTGGTTCACCAATTTATTTTCTTATTATGGGTTATTCAGTGCAATAAAATGGAGCAGGGTTCTGTGCTAGATCGCAGAACAGTGTTACACAGAGACTAGAAATGTATTTTTCATATACGCAGTTTAGTCTTCTAACAGCCGCATTTTAGAAAAAAAAATTAACTTTAGCCACGTTTAATCCAATTTATATTACAATGCAGTCAGCCCCTTTTGTCCGTGGATTTCCAATTCACTGGGTTCAACCAACTAAAAATAGGGAAAATATTCAGGAAAGCTTGAGCTACTGGGACCTGCGAGAAAGAGGGCTGACACAGTAGGTATTAAGGCGCTAACAAGGTAAATTCAATCCATTAGACACCCGTGAGAACCAACCCCTTCAAGTTATCCCCTGACCTCTATGCACACATGAAGAGGTAAGCAAGCATGCAGGCGTGCGCGCACACGCACACGCGCACACACACACACACACACACACACACACAATGTAACAAAACAACCACAGAAGCTGTGGCACATAGAAACACGTAGCCATCGGCTCCTCTATGGAACACAACAGCTATGGGAAACTGAAAGTGAATCATCCACTGAAGGTTTCTGGTTGTCTGTCATTGATGCGTCATACTGGGAAAAACACCGCAAAGTGACAACACAACTGCAAATTTTGATATAAGAGCAAAGAGGTGGCAGCAGACAATAGCAAGAATTTATTCTAGAAAGTCCTTTCCCACTTAAGTGCAAATCCCCCATCCCACCCACCTTGCTCACTCATTCCTACCTGTTCACCTTTCACACTACTTTCTGTTAACACACATCTGTAGTAACTTTCCATCGTACTGGATACTTGATGTCAAGAATTCTCTCCAAATTAGCTTTATCCTCTTTTAGGTATGCCACTGTTCTATGTGTCTTTCAGAATTCTAACTTCAATGTAGCACAAATCTTAAAAGTTCTTATTAATAAAAACAAATCTGGGGCAGGTATTGGGGTGAACTCTGGAAGATCAGAGAAGCAGAACAAGCCACAGCTTCCTCACCTCACCAATTCCTCAGCTGATCCTGTTTCCTCAGACTGGAATCCTCTGAGTCCTCATCCAGAATGGGTCTCAGCTGAACTGTGCTGCTCAAAGCCTAAAAGTTTAACCAGCCAAATGCTTCTAGTTTCTGGTCTTCACGTCTTATATATCCTTCTGTTTTCTGTCATCACTCCCTGGGATTAAAGGCGTACTTCCTGGGATTAAAGGCGTGTGTCACCATGCCTGGCTATTTCCAATGTGGCCTTGAACTCACAGAGATCCAGACGGATTTCTGACTCTGGAATGCTAGGATTAAAGGTGTGTACTACCACTGCCTATCCTCTATGTTTAATATTGTGACTGTCCTGTTCTGTGACCCCAGATAAGTTTATTAGGGTGCACAATATTTTGGGGAACACAATACCACCACACTTAAAATTAGTGTTTGTGCTTATAATGGCTTTGTTTCCAAGTAACTGTTTTGTCTTCAGATAGACTTTGAGAAGATACCCTTTTCCCCCTCCCTTCCCAAGTTTTATATTTACTTACTGAGAAAACAATTATAAATGCCACTAATTTTTGTGTGCTAGAAATGAAGGGTTTACAACATGCCCCCACAGTTGGGCGTGTTCGCGGCCAGCCGAATAACTAACAAGAAAGTCATGGTATCGAGGATGATTGGCCTTACTTTAAATTCATGTCCACAAATCTCAAGCAAATGTATGATGCCACCTGAGCTCTTTCTCCATGCTCTTGATGAGTTTTCTCATACTCCAAATGACTGTCACATTTTTCTCTACTCCTAAAACCTCCACTGTCCCTTCTCATTCACCTCCATTTTATGGTCTTGGATCATTTGTCATTGAGAATACAGAAGCAAATAAGAAGTTCCTTATCACCTGGCCTGGTTAGATTTTTTTTTTTTAAATCTTGACACAAGCCACGGTCATCTAAAAAGAGGGAACTTCAATTGAGGAAATGTCTTCATTAGATTGGCCCGCAGGCAAGCCTGTGGGCAATTTCTTGATTGATGATTGATATGGAAATACCAGCCGTCTGTGGACAGTGCCATCCCAGAGCAGGTAGTCCAGGTGTGTATAAGAAAACTGAGCAAGTCAGGAGGAACAGTCCAGGAGGAACATTCCTCTGTGGTTTCTGCTATAGTTCCCACCTCCAGGTTCCTGCCTTGAGTTCCTGCCCTGACTTCCCTTCATGTTGGAAGATGAAATAAGCCCTTTCCTCCCCAATTGCTTTTACTCATGGTTTTGATTTCAGCAATAGAAAGCAAACTAAGACATCACCTTACCACCAAATTGCCAACTTGCCAATCCTCTCTGTCTCTCTTTCCCTTCTCTCGTTGGAGGAGCGTCTCCCCTCCTCTGAAAACCCACTCTTCCTTTTGTACATTGAAGTCCATCCTCTTTCAGTTCTCGAGGAAAGGCCTCAGCGATTGCCCTTTCTTTTTTCTTCTTACTCTACTCTTCCTCCCCCAGCTCCCTGAGGCAGTGGCTGGTGCGCACCTCAGGGTGACCTCCAACTCACTAGGTAGACTAAGCAAGCCTTGAACCCCCAGTCCTCTGGCCCCCACCTTTTAAGTGTTGGCATTACAGGTAGTCACTGCCATACCTGGCTGCAAATAACTGGGCTTTAACAACACTGGTGTGCTTCTCTTTGCTCTCCCTCTAACAACTACTGTATGAGATAGAATTATTTTAAATGAATTAAATGTAAGTTTTCCTAATAATTCTGAAATATCCCAAGATCAAAACTAGAGCTTCTGGCCCTAGAGTAGCCTAGTAAGGGAGAGAGATCACTCATTTGATGATTTTAAGTTTTGGAGACATGAATGTTTGTGTTTCCGAGCAAACTAGAAGTTTGCAAATATTACAAAAATTGTAGTATATTCTTAATTTTTAAGTCAGGAAATCATTAGTCTGGGAGGGGACATATATTGATATATGTAAGCAACTGAAAACATAGCCTAAAATATAGGCACTGAAGGACAAAAATTAATGCAGTTAACTTAAGGTTGGCCATCCCTACCAGCACCTCAGCCCTTCTCTCTCTGATGTGAACACTCCTTGTCCTGAGTTTTCCCGAGAGCTGAGCCAACACAGACAACTCTCCTTAACTCCCCCAAGTATGGTGAGCCTGTGGCTGAACCTCTCAGCTGAGATCCCTGACCAGGAAGGCAGTGATGGGTACTACTTGGGGAGATGAACAGGAAGATCCCTGAAGCCAGGAGTTCAAGGGCAGGCTGGGTAACAAATAAGACCCTACACCATGAACAAACCAACCCTGACAGTTGTAACCATGTAAAGGGACCATGAAATATGGAAAAAGCAGATCTTAAAATTAGAATTCCTCCAGGAAATCTTAGGAGTATGGGAGATGAAAACAGCCTGAAGCCCTTCCACTATATGAGAAAATGTCTCCAGGAAAAGACAGCATTCCACAGTTGGACAACTTACGTTTTTAAAATAATTTCCAATGTTGATTTATTTACTGGTGGCCCAGTTGCATGCCACAGTGTGCATGTGGAGGTTGGAGGACAACTTGTCAGAGCTGGTTCTCTCCTCCCACACAAAGGTAGACTACGTGCAGGGGCGCACACCTTTAATCCCAGCCCTCGGGAGGCAGAGGCAGGCGGATCTCTGTGAGTTTGAGGCCAGTCTATCTTATTCTACCTAGCAAGTTCCAGGACAGCCAAGGCTACATGGTGAGACTCTGTATCATAAAGATAGATAGATAGATAGATAGATAGATAGATAGATAGATAGATAGGCAGACAGACAGACAGACACAAAAGCAAACAAACAACAAAACCAAAAGGAACCCTACTCTGAGTGACCGCCAACCTCAGTGGAGATTTCTCCACTTCCTCCACTGGCTTTTGACCCTCTTGGCCTCATGTTCCTGCACACCTGCTAACATTCCTTTCACTTTCAGTTTTCCCCTGGAAGGTCCTACCCACATTCGTAGCTTCAGCATCTCAGAATGAACATGACCCAAACAGAATTCCAATTCCGTTACTTTCCTCTTGTCCATATCAGATACCTCACTGCTCAAACCCAAAACCTAACACCCCCTCCCTATTCCTCTCGTCCTCATCTTCCCGTATTCAGTCTGTTATGGGTCCCCTCAGGACTTCCTGTCCGTCCCGCTCTAAGCCACTGCCATTGTTTCCTGGGTATTACAATGGTTCCTGTCTGGCCTCTGCATTTCCATTCCTATCATCCTCCCACTCTTCTATTCTCCACTGAGTATCCAATGTTATGTGTTTTAATCCTGGCTAGGTAGAACCCAGCAGTCAACCCAAAGGTGTCCACCGTTTGTGCAGAACCTGGCCAGCGCTAGCAGGGGGTGTCAGCCGGCATTTCAGGCCGGGCAGCTGGACGT